TCGGAGATTTTAATATATAAAAAGAGGGGGGAAATCAAGTATATGTATTATGTTTTTGCAAGGTTGACTTGCTTTTCTTAGCCCAATCTTCGTTAATTTTTATTTTGTTTATCGTACATTATTTATAAATATGCTCATCAATCCCAGTCATTTTTGACAGGTGTCCAGAAATTTAAAACTTTTCAATTGAATGAGGAATTCTCCCCATCGATTTCAAATTATGAAGACTGAGGATTCTCCTCTACTAGGCAATTGATGTGGTAGCGATTTTAGTACGAGAACTCTCGTGCTGTTCACGAAAGTTTCATGACCTTGGTTTATCTTCACTTTTATTCGTGATTATGCCCTATACAGGTCACATTGACTGTCTTTAATTCATAATTATTCTTTTAAATTAATAATGTATATACAAGTAGTGTGAGATTTCCTCTGAATCCACTAAGTCAGTTTGTTTTTATAGAGCTTATTGTTGACCTACCCAGATTAACTTGAGGAGAAGGCTCGGCTTCCTTAATTAATTCCACTCAATCATATATATGAAAAATATGTGCTACAGTTTTGAACAAGCATCCCCATTACGGCATGAATTCAGAAGAAAACATGATTTCAACCTGACAAAAGTTAGACATGACTTGCTTTGTCTTGAGCCATGCTTTCTGTCTAACTCAACTGGGCCACGATTGTGTTGCTTTCGGGCTATTTATTTCCCTCTAAGTCTGCAAGGTCATCGTTTGAATCCCTCTGAGGATTTTGATGAGACATTTGGTGAGATCGAAACCGGGTGATAACGCTCTTCTATAATGCATAACATGGTCAGATCACCTATTTAATCAGCCACTATTGAATAATAACTAGCCAAAGTGAGATAAAAAAGGTTTTTCTTTCGACCGCTGAGGCACCTGCAAATTCATTTGTAATGGTAACTTTAAAATGTGCTATTATGGGACAGAAATTACAATATAAGGCGATTTTTTGAACCATTGCAATTACTTAAACTAATTATCCTTGGGGAGAATTAAGAATTATAGTTTTTTTAAACTTCGGATTTAAATTTTGTTTCTAGGTGCTTACGAGATCTGCCGGGGGGGATCCGCGGAGTATGTAGAGGGTCTTAATTTCACCGCCGTACGTGAAAAATACGAATACTTTGTGTGTCCTGATAACATGTTGGAGCCAGAAGAGCGATTTTGCTGCAAGACTAGTAGTGACACGGGCTTTTGCTGTGCCATGGATCATGACAGGTGAGCCCTGTCTAGGCTTAATCTTTTATTAGTTTGATCTCTTGTTTACCAAACTTATACCACTTATGCCGGTATATTCTTTTTTCTATTTTAACATTTTTGTAAATTAATTAAATTGCGTTCTTTGTATCAACGTAATTACTTACTGAGACATGTCTTGATCAAAGGCTTAAACTCTAAATGTAAACAGAAGCCTTTGCCGTGACTGCTTGCTCGAGCTCCAGTTGTGCTTTGAATGGATATGCTATTAGCTCAATCTGAATATTTGTCAAAAAGCTGGATCTCGAAGACTTTCTTTATAATTTCGTGTCATTTTACGCTTTATTTGTTTTGAAATTTGTCTGGAAAGGATTCTTGAATTTGCTTTACTGGAAAAAGGAGGATTATCTTGGAGTTAACACAGTCGATTTGTGCGAATAATTCCAAATTTATCTATGATGAGCTTTGTTGTCATGTAACCCAAATTGTCAGGGCGTGAAAACATTCTATGATCAAAATTCTACAACACTTGATTTGGTTATGTAGGGCTGGCAGATTCATCGCCGATTTTTCCGGGTCATATGACTGAAGCGATGACTACAAAAATTGACCGTCACTATTCCAAGCTTATTCTCTTTCGGTTTTATAGTGAGACCAATAAGGGAATCCTTTTCACTTAATTTTTAAAACGAGATGACAGCTCTACTGAAATTAAGATATGAGTCCATGTATTACAATTTTCGTGTAAATCTCATCCCTAGGTCTTAATTTTTATTGCATTATTAATATCAGTCTTGACGATACTGGAACCTGTACAAAAAGCGCCGTTCGCTACTAATATCTGCAAAAGACAGTTTTGACAAGCTCTTACAATTCTATCTGTTTATACTAATCATAGCATTACAAATAATTAAAACCTGTCCAATACTGGCAAGGTAAGGAAGTTGTTTGACCTTGTTTTCTCAACTTGGTCATATTGGTAAGAAGACTTAGAGGAACGCTTCTAGTCCGAAGTCCATTGTATGCATGATCATTTCCAAAGCCGAACCATAGACGTGGTACATTCCCAGACGTTTCGCCGG